ATTTCAGTAGCTCCAGTGTTAAAGAGGATAATTTTGTTTTGTTCCGTGACTACGACCTTCGTGTGAGCCACATCATGGGCCTTGTGTCAGGTGATCTTTTCTGCGTTCTCCATTAAGAGACTATATCTGATCCGGATCCGCGAGGCCAGAAATCAATTGCTGCATTAGCATAGTTTCTTCCACTTTTTCTTGGGAATACTACGGTAGTCACACTTTCGAACAAAACGAATACGGTGGGAAATGAATGCATCCACAGACTCACCAGATTCTTGATTCAGTTGCGAAAAATTGTACCAAGAAGTATGGGTGTTCACTCGAACGCCCTAATGTTTATGGAGGGCCGATAATACCTCTGTCAACGTGAGTTTCTCCCGCAAATTTAGAGCAGAAAATATACGTCGACCCTATGAGCCGAGGTGCAAGCGCAAAAGCTTTAAAGTATCCTCCGTTTTCAGTGTCACGGACGGATTGAGCACTGGCAGCACAGGAGTATAACCAGAAAAACTAAATTTCCAGTCTTCCCAGAATTCTACATTTGGGGTAACCGCAGAGTCAGTCCAGAACGGTGAAGGGACAGTAGCATGCAAAGACATCGGTAACACGCGATGCCAATTTGTTGTATCCCGAAAAAGCAACAGACCAGAGCAGCACCGGAACGTTTGTATGGAAAAACTGTCTGCACATACGCGCGTTACAAATAAGTCGAGACGTTCGAACTGCAATCAATCAAATGCAAGATCACATGGCTAGGTCAACGAGTGCTAAATAGAGGTGTGAGTAGGATAAGCAAATCGAGAGCAAAAACAAAGCAAGGTATTTGAACACGACAGATATGGTGCGAAAATTTGCTAAGTCGAAGAACTGTATGTTGCGATTTGACTGTTCGATGTTATCCAATCGAGAAAATAATCTGGGAATACTTAAATTTAGTCCAGAGCCTACTTTCTAAAGTTTCTGTGATGTTTTCCTGGTATGAAACACAGTGCGTGTTGGCAGCAACTACTTATGCTTAATTCTCACTGTTGTGTTGTGAAATCAAGACACGAGATGTGAGGGGATAAGTCAAAACACATGATAGTGATATTGGTTTCCAGGCGCTTTATGTCGCGCTGATTATCATCATCAAAATTTATCAGCCCCCACCCCCGAGTGGAAAGAAGTGTGCTCGCCGCAAATCTGGAATGCAATACTAACATTTGTGGTGAGCGCACCAGACATCACGACATTCGAGAGACTGCTAGATTTTCATCTTAGTGCTAAACGCTACACAACAGCGTGATTAAATGCGATGTCTTTAGTATTGATGATTAACGTTCTATGTGAGAACATTTTTGATTTTAATTTGCTTGTGCATTTTCCATTCTGTTGGTGTTGTAAAGTTATGCATTTTATTCCACCATACATTACTGAATTATCAAACGAATAGTGATACGGAAGACCGCCACCCGGTAACTATTAAGTACGCTTTCAATAAAGTTGCAGGCTGTGTATTTATAAGGCAAATGTAATGATTCGGAATACCTGTAGCTCGGGTTGGTAGTTAACGTTTTGAGTCGTTCTCCGAGCTGAGTAATTTAATGACAAACGTTACACTACTTTCCTCGGTGACATTTTCAGTGCACTGCTCCGTAGAGGAAAACCTCCCAGAAAGTGTCGTCGGGACGTAGCGTTTGAAACTGGCCTCGTGGATCTGTATCCCGTGACCTCTGTTTGTTCGATGTTTAGCCGCCCAGTTTCACGCTTTCTCAGCTGTAGGTACACAGAATCGAGGTCAATGTGGAGGTTCACTGAATTCTCCGTAGAGAACCATGAGGAAGGACACAACGTTAACTGGGACAACACAGAAATTCTGGCGCACGGAGGGACAAGAAAAGGAAGGAAAATCCTCGGGGCATGGTTCTCTACGGAGAATTTAGTGAACCTCCGCAGTGACCTCGATCCTGTGTACCTACAGCTGAGAAAGCGTGAAACTCGGCGGCCAAATATCGAACAAACAGAGGACACAGATAGATGAGATCATTTTCAAACGCTACGTCCCGACAACACTTTCAGTGAGATTTTCCTCTACAGAGCAGTGCACTGAAAATGTCACTGAGGAAAGTGGTGAAACGTTTCTCATTAAATTACTCAGCTCGGAGAACGAATCAAAACGTTAAAGCAAAAGTAAATAATGTCCGTGACAGTCACCTACGGCGTAGTGGCTTAAGTCACTGTCTCGTAAGAGTAAAATCATGATGGGCTCGCTAATGAGGTGTGCTAATAGGATGAGACGGCCGTTTATCGCTTTTCTCGGTCGTGCGTTAGCAGTCTGAGCTTGCTTGCGACGGACCTTTCTAGAAACTCGGCAAATCCACCCACTATACTCACAAGTCGTATTTCGTGTATTCGTTTGATCAGACCACATAGTTGGACTGTGCCACGCACCGCCGAGGAAGTACAAAGTATTGCTTTTATTTAGAGGATCGGATACCATGTAGATGCACCGAAATGTCGCGCACAAAACGGAGTGTATGCTGCTGTTCAAATTGGCTTGATGGTCCGGTCATGTCCATAGAATGCAGATGAACAGAATACATACACTATAGTCAAAAAAGCAGGCCTCCAGAAATATGGCATGGGTGATTCATGCAAGAACTGGTGCCACGGAAGAAAATGACAACCAGGTGCTAGTATTGAGGAGCACGTGGTTGTCCTGACGCACCATTCGGATCACTAAGTTGTGAAGCTGTGCCCAAAAAATTGTTGTAAGGCCAAGTACATTGCAATGTTAAAAAGACCATTCAAGGCTGTTGAGCGGCGAAATTTTACAACGAAAAACGTTGCAAAGCTTAAACCGACACGCTATTCAACCAACTTCTCAATTTTTGCCAATGAGGATTTCACTTCACACAATAATCTGCCTCGACGGGGAATCGAACCCCGGTCCCACGAATTTCCGGTCCGCTGCTCTACCCCTGAGCTACCGAGAGCTGACTATTAGGTGCGCAATTTAATACATGACTTCTGCTTGGTGCGCGACGTATTGCCAATGAGCTCACAGTATCTGTCCTGGTGTTGCAGATTGGCTCACTCACCCTTCACTTCCCAATGGATCGAAGTATCTGTCCTTCTGAGGTCCAAAGGGCGATGGTAGATTACTTGTGGATTCTTTCGTGAGTAGTGTAATGTTCGTAGAACATTACCTTACATTACTAGGAATATTACACTACGCAGAAAAAAATCCACAAGTAATCTACCATCGCCATTTGGACATCAGAAGGACAGATACTTCGGTCCATTGGGAAGTGAAGAGTGAGTGAGCCAGTCTGCAACACCAGGACAGATACCGTGAGCTCATTGGCAATACGTCGCGCACCAAGCAGAAGTCATGTATTAAATTGCACACCTAATCGTCAGCCCTCGGTAGCTCAGTGGTAGAGCAGCGGACCGGAAATTCGTGGGACCGGGGTTCGATTCCCCGTCGAGGCAGATAATTGTGTGAAGTTTAATCGTGACTTCTACTTTCTACGAACATTACACTACTCACAAAAAAATCCACAATGAGGATTTGTCAGCTCAATGCGAATACCTAACTGACTATAACAAATTCTGTTTCAATCTCTAATGTCCAATTGTGACCATCTATTTGCAGACTGAGGAGTTTTCATCTCCATTACTCAAGCAGCTGCGTGGAAGAAAAGAACAGGTTTACAAATGCAAGCTAACAGCCCGTGTCAAATGTCTAGCTGTGGATATAAAAGCAGAAATAAAGGAGTTAAACAGCCCATGCATTGAAGCAGTTTTACGATACCAGCTGCCGTGATTTGTTGAGGCTCTTGAAGCAACTCGCGGGCAAAAATTTCAGTAACCCACTCGGTACTGTGGATGTTGACAAGCTCAACACAGAAGTTAACTCCTCATCATCAAACACGTTCCTCTTACCTTGCTTCTCCATAGATGACTCTCCCACCCTATTTGACCACATCAGTGTTTACAGAGAACCCACAAAACTAAAGAAAAACAAGGCTAGTGGCTTTGATTTCCTGTCCCCAATCGCTCTGAAAGTGTATGCGGATGCATTAGAAGCACAGAAGTTTAACGACTGGCATCATCCTCGATATCCGGAAAGCAGTCAGAAGAACACTGCTTAAGAAGGAATAACAGAAATATTGGACAATAGCGTGCAACTCGGTGCTGTTGAAGATGCCTGGAAAACAACAAATTCCCAGAATCTTTAGAAGCAACCATAAGAATGATATCAAACAGTTTGCATACAAGTCAGAGTGCCCTACATTGATTGCCGTTTCACATATTTTGTGCATTTCATTGCACCTGCTTTGGATAAAAAATGCAACGTTCCTTGATTACGTTAATGCCTTGGGGGTTTGAAAGATGGGTACTACACTCTTCGTTCGAAAACGGCGTTCTCCCATACGCATGCAATGGAATAAGGGACCACTTTACGAGTCGCATACACTTCAAGCAGTTATACGGTAGATTTTCCGCAATCTCCCTTTCTGTGTTCCCACTATATTGAGTGTCTGCCTATACCAACCAGTTATACCAAGTGTAAATATGCTAACCACGTTGTCCTAGGGTGTATAACCCAGTAGTTGAGAAATCTCCGAACTCTTGAGTTGGTTAGGCTCTCGATTGGATAAGCGATTTTGTTATGTGGCCAGTTACGTAATGCACAAAGGAGAGATAAGCTACCCGTAATGTTTAAAACAATATCATAAATGAGATAGACAACTTATAATGACACGCCACCGAAAATGACAAGTGCACTTAAACACCGGGTATGGAGCAGTATATTACAAAACCATCAATGGGAACAATTATACTCAGAAGTAATGTGAAACGAATGGCGACTAGGATTGAAGGAGATACCAGCGATGGGGATTATAGACGCAGAGATACAGCGAGTGGAAGCATAACAGTGACACGAACAATAATAAGGAAATTATGAGAAAACGATACAACGAAGCATCGAGAAAACAGTTAAACGCAGAAACGACGCCTCATCCACCAAACCCATAGAGAGTACGACCTTGACGCTTGAGAGCATAGACAACATCCATGGCCGTGACAGTCTTACGTTTAGCGTGTTCTGTGTATGTGACAGCATCGCGTATTACGTTCTCCAGAAAAACTTTCAATACGCCGCGAGTCTCCTCATAAATGAGACCAGAGATGCGTTTTACACCACCGCGACGAGCAAGTCGGCGGATCGCAGGTTTCGTTATACCTTGAATGTTGTCGCGAAGCACTTTCCGATGTCTTTTCGCTCCTCCTTTTCCAAGTCCCTTTCCACCTTTACCACGACCCGACATAGTTCAGAAGTGTGTATGGATATCAGCACGCTGAAAAATAAGTGATACGAAGATTGCTGAAAGATGATGAGGACAAAACGAATCGGTAATGCAAATTGCAGTACAGTTTCTTCCACATAAGAGAAAACTACAAATGTGAGGTGGAAATATACTAGTACGGCGTGTCGACAATTCGCCACCACGCGACTACCAACAGTCGCGTACGTGCTAAGGAGATCGCCCGCATCTACGTATATTGGAACTGGTGATCTCTAGAGTAAAAACAGACGCCCTATGCCAATCTGCCAAGGGCATGCTGAAAGATGGCGTCATAAAATTACAGTGGCTGGCTTGCAACCACAGCATCCGAAGTTCGGGGTCCTGCTCCTGCACATAGAGATTTGGGCGCCCCGGTAGTGTACCAACAACAGGAGACAAACGGCCACAGCGCGAAGTACCAGTACAGGTTTTGAATACAAAACCGTTTTTGTAGGTTTTATTGTGGTAACGTTTCACTCGCGAAGCGAGGTTCTTCAGACCAGGCTGTTGCGTCAAGAGCGAAACATTGGCACAATAAAAACCGACAAAAACCGATTCGTATTCAAAAGTTTCTGAAATCATGAAACCCCAGTCAGTTCCAAACCTATTCCGAGATACTGGTGTGTTAGTTATATGCTCTAGACTAGTATTAGAAATATGGGAGCAAAAGCCAATCACACGATGAGCAAGTCCGCTGCGGCCGATATCAGCGATGCACTTAATGTCGCCTTAGTTAAAATACCTGTTTAGGTGTATTCACATTCAAGGTGTTTGTGGACCAATGCTGAGATAACGAACGATAATGAAAGCTGCAAGAAAGTTGTTTCGCTTAAGCAGCTTCACAATCTCACGTTGATCAGCTGTTTGTGACTGTTTTACTGATAAGGTGTAGGTTAGTATTGGCCTTGGATGTTTGTTGTCATCTGCTTGATACTAGCTCCCTTTTCTCTCTGTTCGGTTGAATAACTGTAATCCGGGTATCGAAATGCAGTGGACCCGGTTTCCACAGGTCACGGCGCCAGATTAACAGTTAATCTCAATGGTAAAAAGGAGGTCGAAAACTAACAGGTCCTGTCCATCATATGAGGTCGTCCAAAGCGCTTGGGCAAAATGTTTATCGCACGCCCGAAGCACTCAACAGGTGCGAGGACCAAACAGCTTTCGATGGTCTCACCCGAATAGTACTGTGTCAGGTGTGAAAGTTGGATCGGGATCTATTCGAGTAGTCAGATACAAAGCATCGTATACATACAAATCCAGTGGTAAGTAATGTCGTCATCAAATGTGATCAGTTTGTGTCTAGGGATATAGAAAGTCATGGCGGGACCGAAACAATTGGACCTGGGTTCGGAAAAACAACCGCTAGCAGCGGGTGAATCAAAGTAGGAGTGTCCAGCACGGCCTAGAACTACCGAACCTACAAGGTACAAGCCGTAACACTGACGACATGTGCGGACTGCAAGTTACTGATTTCAGGGAAGGCGAACGAAGAGCAACAGCAGAAGGAAGATCAAATACGTTATTTGGCAAAAACTGCTCGTTTACCCGTTGGCAGACCTGAAGAAAAACGTGTCGAAAACAGTCATCAACCTTATACTGCTTAGCCCGCAAACCCAATCTAGCACTTTGTAGTTTCTCAGTGTTAGCAGCACCAAAAGCAACACAATAGTCATTAGCACCAAAGTCAGAAACAGACCCTGTTGCACTACTTAACCATGTAGCCACAATAAGAAGCCTAGCCTAAGTAAGCCTCATGAGACAGAAAAACTGTAGACAGGTTCACCTGGGGTAGGTGTGGCACCCGGCTCAAAGGCTGTCATCATTGGTTGACTGGATTACGGTAGACAGCCATTTGTGTGTAGTCCGTTTGACGACATCGACCAAGGTTGATTCACGAAGTAGTACAATACGGTGTTTGTGGTTTCCGCTTATGCCCACATCGACTACAGCTCTGATGCTGCCAAGGACACATACAACCACGAACCAAACACGTTACTATGCAGTGCTAACAGTTCGGATAGTATAGTACTTGCAGGGAATACGAACGCACAAGCAGGTCGCCTGGGCTCTTTAGAAGCTCAGCTAGGTGGTAATTTTCGGCGTAACTACAACCGTACGGTCAACGGCGAGCGTCTGTTACATCTGGGTGCGGAGTATCAGCTGTTGCTTGGTAGCACTGCTCCCAGACACAGTGGGCGCCGAAGTGCCACTTGGTGTCCTCCTGTAGCTGGCCAGCGATGGACCCAACTATATCACGTTGACATGTTACAGGTGGCGTGGTTCCATCTTGGATTGCCACTCATACTGGAGTACTTGCGTCGACTTGATCATGCCTTGGTACGCAGTTGTTTTTTCATGAACTTTACACAGAGGCACAGCAAGCGTCTCCTAGGATTGACAACTGAGAAATTGTCAAGGCTCTCGGTCAGGCAAGCCTATCAAGACGCACTGCATACCGAAGTTTAGCTGTCTTGTTATAATGACAATGAGCTTCAGTGGAATATATATATATATATATATATATATGTATATATATATATATATATAGGGGAGACAACAGGTCTACGGGTTATAAGCTCACAGCTCGATTGGCGTAGAGCACGTGCGCCACGCATTGTCTCTGACGGTAGGAGGGCACCTCCGGGTGTTCAATGGTTTGCTACTGCCCGCCTCAAGCCAGACAGCCCCTGGTCAAATTGGTGCAAACCCGCCAAAAACCCACCTGCGTCTGGCCGTAGTCGCAGGTGTATCCTATTACGGTCGCAAAACATATAAACCGTTCCAGTACCTCCAAGGCTGTGTGTGACGGCCGTCAAGCAGATCCCAATCTGTCTCTGTAATCACATTCCCGAGCTGGATCTGCTCTCCACTGCCTTCTGGGTCAGGCTATTGAGCCAAAGGCTCCAGGCGGAGTCCCTCAAGCAAACATCCAAATCACCCACTGCCTTGTGGGTCAGGCTATTGAGCCAAAGGCTCCGGGTGGAGTCCCTCAAGCAAACCTCCGAAGCACAACGACCACCTCGCGTGCGATTGCCCACCAATGCAATCGTATGCCTGCGCGCAAAGCACTCAGCATCGGGTGCTGGAACGTGCGCACACTACTAAACCGGAACTCCAGCGAGCGCCCGGAGCGACGCACTGCACTGGTCGCGATGGAACTGGCGCGCTACCACATTGATATTGCGGCGCTCAGTGAAACTCGGCTCGCTGAGCAAGGTAAGTTGCTTGAAGCAGGTGCTGGCTACACATTCTACTGGGTGGACAACGCCGCCTCAGCACCACGTGAACATGGGGTCAGATTTGCAATATCCGATCGCCTCCATGGCCTGCTGGTGGGTGAACCAACGGGCATCAGCGCGCGACTGATGACTGTTCGCCTACGACTCGGAAGAGGTAAGTTTGCCACTTTATAAGCACGTACGGTCCGACCATGTGTTATCCTGATGACACGCGTGATCAATTCTACACTCAGCTATCTTCCGTGATACGGTCTGTGCCGAGGAGCGACCGACTATTTCTGCTGGGTGATTTCAACGCGCGCGTTGGGCGTGATGCATCAGTGTGGACAGATGTTATCGGTTCGCATGGCATTGGTTCAGCGAATGCGAACGGTGACAGGCTGCTCTCACTGTGTGCCACTCACGGCCTGACGATCACGAACACTCGGTTTGCACTGAGTGCGAGTGATATAGCAACTTGGACACACCCACGGAGTGGTCACGCTCACCTGCTCGACTATGTCATCGTACGTCAGCGTGATATGCGTGAAGTGCGCATGACACGTGTACTGCGTGGAGCTGAGTGTGGCACTGATCACAAGTTGGTGCGGACCAAACTGTACATATATTTTCGTAAATCTATGTATTGCACTGCCGCCGTGAATCGGCGTAAATTTAACATTCTCTCCCTCGGTACTGTGGCGAAACGTACTGAGCTGGAGAAGGCGATGGCTGCACGCCTGTGTGATGTGAAAGGCATAGCCACAGTGGGCGACCTGTGGCACCACATTCGCGACCAGGTGACAGCTGCTGCCGAGGAGACCATCGGGCGCACAAACTGTAAGCGGCCTGATTGGTTTGATGACAACAATGCGACGATCGGCGCATTGGTGTCGGAGAAGAATGCAGCATTTGCTGCACATGTCGCAGACCCCAGTGACTTGGGGAAGAATAGTCAGTTTCGCAAACTTCGACGGCGACTGACCCGAGAGCTCCGTCGCATTAAAAATGCATGGTGGACGGAGAAGGCGAAGCAGATGGAATGCTACGCCGAACGCCGCCAACACAAGGAATTCTTTGACTCCTTGAAGGCGGTGTATGGACCGAGATTGGAGCCGCTGAGGACACTGATCGATGGTAGTTCAGGCGCTACCTGCACCCAGACTGCAGACATAATGCAGATCTGGCGAAAACACTTTGACTGTCTCTTGAACAACTGTTCAGAGATCGACTGGCCTACTTTGAACGGCCTGAAGCAGCACGATGTGAAGACGAGTCTGGCGGACACGCCGACACTGGATGAGACGCAGAGAGCACTTGCTCAGCTGCGAAACGGCAAATGTGCCGGAGCCGACGGGATCCCGCCTGAAGTATTGAAACACGGTGGACCCGCGTTGTTGACTGCGCTGCACCACTTGGTGCAACGTGTATGGATTGAGGAGGAGGTGCCTCCTGAGCTGAAGGATGCCCTTGTGCTACCACTGTACAAGGGTAAAGGGAGCAAGCAATGTTGCACGAATTATCGTGGCATCAACTTGCTGAGTTGTGTGGGCAAGGTGATTGCCCGAATCCTGCTCAACCGCCTCGTCAGTCAGGTTGTGGAACCTAACGTGGCGGAAGAGCAATGTGGATTCCGTTCGGGTCGCAGCACTATAGATATGGTGTTTGCGGCTCGTCAGTTGCAAGAGAAGTGCAGAGAACGACACCAGCCATTGTACTCGCTTTTTGTTGATTTCACCAAGGCATTTGATACGGTGAACCGCG